CCTTCTCTCTACTACTCGTCGTAGTCTTCTACTACTACTACTACTACTTACTCTACTACTAACTACTACTACTACTTACTACTCTCTCTCTCTCTCTCTCTCTCTCTCTCTCTCTCTCTCTCTCTCTCTCTCTCATCCCCAATCAGTTCATGAAATTCAATTCTTTTATCTACTCAGTATTGTTTGCTTCTCTCTCTCTCTCTCTCTCTCTCTCTCTCTGTTCTCAATTCTACTGAGCCCAAACTGAACATGGGTTGGTGGGAGCGCTGAAGGAGGAGAAGAGAGAAGAGAAAAATGGTGTTGAAAGAGCAACCGAAATACGAGAGGGTGAACTTACAACACCCCACCAACAAGAGCAAAAACACCAACAGATACGTCATTGGATGCGCCATTTTTGCCTCTCTCAATTCTGTTCTTCTCGGCTATGGTAAAACACACACTCTCTCTCTCTCCTGATATTTTTTCAGAAACTCCCTTTTTTTTTTCCTTGCTTCATGTTGTGTTCTTTCTCCTTTTTCCATCTCAGAGATGGCCGCCTGCCCGACATGTCATAGATCTTGGAATTCTTTTCTATGAGAAGGGGGAGATCATCAAGAAATATCCCCGTTTTTGTGAAAACCAAAGTCAGCCATGTGGTTTAGAGTTGATCTGTGCTGACTTTTTCCTTTTGGGTTTGGAATTTATTTTCTTACATCTGAACTGGGGACCGATCCTGAGATGTCCATTTCGAATTGCGATGAATTTGAATTGATTTTGGCATATATGTGCAGATGTCGGGGTCATGAGTGGAGCCATCCTCTTCATTCAGGAGGATCTCAAAATCACAGAGGTACAGGAAGAAGTTCTTGTCGGTAGCCTAAGCATCATTTCACTCTTTGGAAGCCTTGGAGGTGGCCGCACTTCTGACGCCATTGGGCGGAAATGGACAATGGGTTTGGCAGCCATAGTCTTCCAATCGGGAGCGGCTCTAATGGCCATGGCCCCTTCCTTCACAATACTCATGGTCGGGAGGCTTCTCGCTGGCATAGGCATAGGCTTCGGAGTCATGATCGCCCCGGTATACATAGCAGAGATTTCCCCAGCAGTAACGAGAGGAGCCCTCACTTCCTTCCCTGAAATCTTCATCAACGTTGGGATCCTTCTGGGCTACGTCTCTAACTATGCATTTTCTGGCATCTCTGTCCACATCAACTGGAGAATAATGCTCGCTGTGGGAATCCTCCCTTCGGTTTTCATCGCATTCGCTCTCTTTATAATTCCAGAGTCACCCCGATGGCTTGTGATCCAAAACAGGGCCGATGAAGCAAGATCAGTTCTCCTAAAGATCACAGAAGATGAGGCAGAGGTGGAAGCAAGGTTAGTCGAGATAGAGGAAGCTGCTTCGACAGGAAACAAGGAGAAGGCAGTGTGGCAAGAACTGTTGAGCCCTTCTCCCGCTCTCCGACGCATGCTCATAACAGGATTTGGGATCCAAATATTCCAGCAAATCACAGGCATAGACGCCACGGTATACTATAGCCCGACAATATTCAAGGATGCGGGGATCACGAGTGAGAAGGCCATCCTTGCGGCCACTGTTGCTGTGGGCTTTGCAAAGACTTCTTTCATCTTGGTCGCCATTTTCCTTATCGACAGGGTGGGGAGGAAACCTTTGCTGTATGTAAGCACCGTGGGGATGACCGCTTCTTTGTTCAGTTTGGGGATGGCACTCTCATTCCTCACACATGGGTCCAGTCCAAAAGGGACAGGGATCGCTTTGGCGATATTGGCAGTCTGTGGAAATGTGGCTTTTTTCTCGGTCGGCATTGGGCCTGTTTGCTGGGTTGTGACTTCTGAGATCTTCCCATTGAGGCTACGAGCTCAGGCATCAGCGCTCGGTGCAGTGGGCAACCGGGTGTCTAGTGGACTTGTGGCCATGTCCTTTTTGTCTCTGTCTCGGGCAATCTCTGTTGCTGGTGTTTTCTTTGTGTTCTCAGCCATATCAGCCCTCTCTGTTGCATTTGTGTACTTCTTTGTTCCTGAAACCAAAGGGAAATCACTGGAACAAATAGAATTGTTGTTCCAGCAAGGAGGAGAGTATTGGCGAAAAGGTGGTGGTGAAGTGGAGTTGGGGGATGTGGAGCAGCTGGTTCAGAAACAGCGAAAACCTGAAGAAGTAGAGTTAGGGAATACGGCTCAGCTGGCTCAAAAACAGTGAATTCTGCTGCATTATGATGCTCTCAGACCATCAATTCTATTTATTTTGACCTTCTTCTTACATTATTATTCGATGGGGTGCTCTCCAACCAGTACTGATGAGAACTATGAAGTTGAGGGTACTTGGGCAACAGAAGATTGCAAACCTCACATACCAATATTCTCATTCTCAAAGAAAGGAAAATAATGGAGGGTGATGGATTTCCGTAGTTTATGTGAAAATCATCAGTACTGATGGGTTTCCCCAACAATGCCTTGAAATGGCAATTAATGTTCATAACTAAAAAATTGTCCTCAAGATTATTCTTTGATGAGAAATACATCACACTTTTTGTTTCCCTATGCTTTGATTCCTCCTGCTCAAGTAATTCACTGCACAGAGTTTCCATTTCCAAATCCATAACACAGATGGCCTTATGTTGAATGACTGCATTTGTTTGTCTTCATATTCTGCGAATAATAATGGTAAAAAGAGAATGTTGTATAGTCCAACCCCCTAATCAGGTGGTTTAGCCACATGTTTTGTGTTTGTTGAAAACTTTTAGATCATATCTGATTCACCTGCCAAACGGTTCTCAAGAAAAAATTGTAAGTTTATGAAATCCTTGATCTACTATCCCTCAAATGTCCTTCTAGAATCAATATTGGGAGATTTTGATCTTTTTTTAGTTCCTAAATCATACTCATTTCTATGGAATGTATGTTGGGGTGACAAAGATGAAATAGAGATTTTGAACTTAAAAAAAAATGCTAATAAGTTGTCGGGTCGACCAATTGATAGGCGATCCTAAATTATGTAACTAGAATATATTTAGTATGCAAAAGTTAAACAACAAAAGAGGTTTAACCTCTTTCTTAACTTTATTGTCCAAATTATAGAATTTACTCTCTTTTTTTTTTTTAATTCACCCTGTTATCTAAATCATAGAAAATTTCTCATTCTCTCTCTTTCTTCCTCACTCATGGATCTCTTCTTCCCTCTCTAGCAGCCTTCTCATAATACTTATCTCTCTCTCTCTCATTTCGTGAAACTCACAAGTAAGTTAAAAGAGACATCATAAACTCAATGTATATGATGAGGTTATTAAAAAAAAAATGTGAATTATGTAATTTGGACAATAAAAAGGTAATGACGGGGGGTTAAACGTCTTTTTTTGTTTAACTTGGAGTTCTATAGATATTTATAGCACTAGATTATTTGGGATTATAATTTTAGATAGCGAGATTTATGTCGTTTTCCTTTTTCTTTTCTTTTTTTCCCGATAATTAGGTGATTTATTTTTAGATATAAATGTATTTTTATTTGAATATTGGACATCCGCCCTTCATTATATGGGCGTATGATAAGCGCCCTAAGACAAGTAGTAAACGAGGAAATGGGCTAGGTCTTGGCGGTAGAACCCCTATACTTAGTTACTACATTGTGGTTTCTAATCCTGTTGACACCATGCATTGAGACCTTCAGAAAAACTATCTCCCTAATCTATTTGAAAAAAAACAAGTAGGGGTTTGTCTTCCCCACTGAATTACCCAAATATAATAATAATAAATGGCCAATATGTTCAATAAAACAAACTCCCTAATCTATTTGAAAAAAAAAAAAACAAGTAAATGTCTATTTTCCTCACTAAATTACCTAATAATAATAATAATAATAAATGGCCAAGGCCTAACTGGGCCACGACTTTGCTTATACAAATGGATGCCCACAAAGGATGCATCAATTCAAAAGCGACCTTCCTTTCAAAATTTCATTTGGAACCATAATTTCCCTAGTGGATAATCTTCTCGCCATAATCATGAATCTAAAATTTTGAATTCTACAAATAAATTGTTTTAGACTTTGTCTTTAACTATTTATTTAAATTATTTTTTTTTTGCAAATTATTAAAACCTGCACAACTTTTTTGACATGCAAAATTCTGGACCTAAAATAGACTTGGGATAGGTTTCATGTAAGGAAAAGTGTTCATGCACAGGGGATGCACTTCTACAATAGTGTCCTGTGATGGATGTTACAACATGACAGCCCCACAAAATTTGAAAATAGTAGTGTTAAGATTATATGAATAAATTTTTTTTTTTTAAAAAAAATATTTTTTTCTAATTTACTTCATATCATTGTTTAGATTATATATTCCTCAAAATTTTGAATCTAAAATAGAGATAGATTTTAGAGAGAGGACTAATTTGAATCAGTAATAGAGAGAGGACTCATTTGAATCAGTAAGTTGGGACTCGTTGAAACCTTGTCCTTCAAGTGAAAAGTTTTGGTACGTGCTCCTTCTTATCTAAAATTTTAGGGAAATTAATATAAAGGGTGCGCTTTGTATAGAGCCTAGGCTCTAAACAATCAAATTAGAGCCTACCTTCAAATAATATCGAGAAATGTGGTTTCAATATTGAAAATCTTTGAGATAACCTTAAAATATATTTTTATCTTTATTTATAAAGTTTAAAGCTTCAAAAATAGTGTACATCGACAGATCTATGAAAACTTGATATTTTTGAAAATTGACGGTCCAAAAATGAGTTACAAAATACACTATTTCTAAAAGTTGAAATCCATTTTTCTCATGTCCATGCATCTCAATGTCGAGATGTTCAATTTGAGGATGTTTGGGCATTAAAACAACATCTTCGAGTAAAATTTTCTAGGTAGGCTCAAATTTGATTGTTTAGAGCCTCGGTTCCATATGAACTTCTCACTAATCTAATTTTCCCTTTCTAGAGATATTAAAATATGAGACAAGTTTATATAGAGCCTAGGCCCCGAACAATCAAAATAGAGCGTATGCCCAAATATCATCAAATTGATCATCTCGATATCAAGAGGCATGAACATGAGAAAAAAATGAATTTTAAGCTTTGGAAATAGTGCATCTTGTAACGTATTTTTCAACTGTCAGTTTTTAAGATTTTCAAGTTTTCATATATTTGCTCAATCTATACTATTTTTAAGTTTAAGATTTTATAAATAAAGATGAAAATATAATTTAAGGCGATCATAAAACTTTCCAATATTGAAATCATATTTCTCGATACTGTTTGAAGGTGGGTTCTAATTTGATTGTTTAAAGCCTTGACTCTATACAAACCGCACCCTTTTAAAACACCCTTTAAATACATCCCACAACTTTTAAATTTTATGCATATGTTCATTTTTTTTTTTTTTTTCCATTTTATTTATTTCTCAAAACACCTAGCAACTCGGATCTCCTAGTTCCAAACTATGCTGAAATTGGAAAAGTATAGAAATATACTATTTATATTATAAAGAAGTTACAATCACTATTCTCTATCAGATTCAGAATTGGGGATTTTAATTTTGGGTTGTTGTGAGTGTATCATTGACTAGACTAAAAATAAGAAAATAATTCTCAAACATTGTGATACGCCCCAAACCATCCAATTTGATTTTTAATGGCTAATAATAATCATGACTTTCTTGTAACAAAGATAAATGGTCTCATAGTATATATTCCCTTTGTGAAACATGTTATTTGGTAATGGTAATGGTCTCATAGTATACATTCCCTTTGTGAAAAATGTTATTTGGTAATGGTATTGACTATGAGAGTAATACTACTGAACATATTCATGTCTTAGAGAAAAAAAGAAGAAGGAGAAGAATGAAGAAGAAGAAGACTGCCATAGAACCAATTCATTGGTTAAGAAGTCCAATCTAATAATTCTTTAGACTAAAAAAAAATTCAAAAAGCAAGGATGGCAGTGCCAACTACAACATAAATGGTTTGGATTATAGATTTTTAAGTCTAAAAAGTATCTTGAGCATAGAGAATTTATATTATGGCTCTAAAATCAATCTCCGACACCGATTATGAAATTTGAAGTTTAAAATATGGTACAGATCTTGTGGATTCATGAATACATACTTTAACGCGAAATGGACATTATGACTGTTTTATAATATATATTATTTTTAATGCTTGAAATCTTAAAATTTTTCACAATCATAATAGTCAAGGCCGAGGTGATAGATTTGAAGGTTTTCCAATACTAGAACTACAATTTATAATGAGTTTCGAAGTCAGGTTTTACTTATTGTTGCAGCCCTATTAAAATATTTTCAAATTTTACAAGGAAAAGGTTACATAAGGGTGAGGCCCTAAACAATCAAATTAAGATGTACCTCAAAAATTCACAAACAGAGATTGTTTAGATGCCCAAAAACCTCGAAGCGATCGTCTCGACCTCAAGATATGTGGACATGAAAAAAAATAGATTTCAAGTCTTAGAAATAGTGCCTCATGTAATGCATTTTCTAGATCGTTAATTTTCAAGATTTTTGAGTATATATAGATAAGTTCTATATATACTATTTTTTAAGCTTTAAATTTTATAATTAGATATGAAAATAAAAATTCAGGCCATCACAATATTTTCTAGTACCGAAACATCTTTATGATACTATTCAAGTGTGCATGTTACTTCGATTGTTGAGAGCCTCAGTCTTATACAGACCATACCCAATTTAGAATTAGGGGCAGCAATGGATCCAGACTTGACCCGGGTAAGATGCAAGTCTAAATATTGGACTTGAACACTATTCGGTCTGGGTCTACCTGGACCCGACCCTAATTGTGTTAATATTTTTAAAAATTTATATATATATAATTTTAATAATATTTAAATAAATATAATTATATAAGCGTAATTATAATATTTAAATAATATATATATATATATATTTAACATCTATTTAAGTAGATATATATTTTTTGAGTCGGGTCGGGATCCGGGTCCCATAATTTTTTTATCCGGAGTGGGACCCGCTGCCCATTTTGAAGATTCAAATTTGCTTTATTCTTAAATTCCGCACAATGCGTCGGAGGAACGCACCCACCCAAAATTGGACCCTCCTGCCGCTGCTCTTTTTACTCTCCCTGAACTCCCAACTCTGAAACTTGGCCTCCCTTCTTTGTTGTTCAAAGGGGAGAGGGAGAGGGAGAGGGAGAGTAGAGAGATAATTGGTGGTTAAAAATGATGGATGGGAACGAAATGAGCTTGGGGTTCGAGAATTTGGTATTTAACAGGAACTGGGCTTTGGGAGGAGGGAGGCTGAGCTGCTCCCTTGTCACTGGCTTTCTGGGGAGCGGCAAGACCACGCTTGTTAACCACATCCTCAATCACAGAGCAGATCTCCGCATCGCAGTCCTCGTCAATGAGTTCGGAGACACCGACATCGACTCCCTCCTCCTCAACCCCTCTCACTCCAATTCAGCTTTCGACCTCTCCACTCTGTCTCTCACCCATGGTTCCTTCCTTCTCCTCTCTCTCTCTCTCTATTCATTCTCTCTTTGTGTTCAATATTCATTGTCTCTCTTCCTTTGCCAGGTTGCCCCTGTTGCCATGTCCATGGGCCTTTCAGAGACGCTCTCCAGAAGATCGTTAACAGCAAGCACAATTTCGATTGCCTGCTCATCGAGGTAGGGAAACACCACTCTTCCTTCTCACTTTCTCATATGCGAGAACCCCCGGCTGATTCTCCAGCAAGCTAGGCACCTATGTCAATTTCCAATTGCATATTTGACTAAAATCTTGAACTGCAGTAGTTGGATGACTCACAGTTTCACAATTTTGAACCACCTTTTCATGTAGTTTTCGACTCAACAGCCACCATTGGCTCATGTATGAATTAGGGTTTAAGGATTCCTAGGACCTGCAAACTTCCTCTGGGTGTTGTATAGGCTTGTGTCGTTGAGTTATGAAGCACTTACCAAGCTGAGCTTTTGTTGTTTCCATAGACATCTGGCTTGGCGAGCCCAGACAAGTTTGTGAAAGAGCTTGAGGAGGTTGGCATTTGCCTTGGTTACACAGTGACCGTGGTGGATGCTGAGGCCCTTCCCAAGATATTGAGCTTGGGCATTGCAAGGCAACAGTTACAACTTGCAGACCTTGTCTTGCTTAACAAGTATGTCCTTTCCCTTTCCTGCTAAGGTTTAAGGCCATGAGTGTAAATAAACATATGACCAAGCCAATTTCTCCTTTTATCTTGCAGATGTACATGTGCAAATTAGTTAGTAATCTGCTATTTTCTTGATGATCATCACATGAAATTAGCTATGAATTGTTTGAGATTGAGGAATACTTGTAGCGACTGAGAATTCGAAGAACCTCCTGTTTGATGCCCCATGGTGTACGGTGATTCTGCTGTTGTAACCTTCCTGGGATGTTTTGGCTTCATATTTGTAGTATTGCAAGTTCGCTTTCTAGAAATTTGGGTTTTTTGTATTTAAGAGTTAATTAGAAGTTTAAGCTCTAATCTTTTTTGAAAGCAATGTGTGTTTCTCTGTTGAACCATTTCAACTTATATTTGCAACTATTTATGTGATATGTTCCAAAACCATTACTTTTTTAATGTTAAAGAAAAATATTTTGGCTGATCAATAGCTGGATGATAATGGTGTTTCAAGAAGATATGCACTTTGTATTTATAGGTTGCGTTTGAGGGCTTAAATGGCTAAGAGTTAATTTCATGGGAAAATTACGAGTCCCCTCAAAAATTGTGCCAACATTCTGTGTGTCCACTTTGCATTATAATTTAGAAAGATCCAATTCATTGTTAAACCCAAAAGGAGTGCACTTTTTCATAAATTCATACTTTGTGCGGCATTTATTTTCTGCGGGGTTTGACTTTGATTCCTGGCATTGTCATACATTGTAAATTACATTAGTTTATTTGAGGACAAACTTCGAGTATAAATTTGCCATCTTTACTTTTTTCCTTATGTGATTAGTTCATCTCTTCCTTTAAATGTTAAATACTGCTTGAGCATTCATGGAGTTAACAGGATGATATCTCACTTCCCTCAATGTCACTCATTCATGAAAGAAAGGCATATTCACCCAAAAAAATGAAAGAAAGGCATAACCTTTATGTGCACGGCTGCATGCACATGAAGGTTGTGTGATTTGAGTGGTATAGTCTTTCTACAAACTCATGTCTCTGGTAACAAGTATGCATTGATTTATTTTTCGAATTTATTTATTTTCTAATCTTTGGTGCTAATTGTTTTTTCCTTGAAAAATTGCTCATTGGAAAATGGTGGTGTGGCCCTTCAATGCTGAAATCTAAGTAGATGTTAGTTTTCCTGTATTAGGTGTGATTTGGCAAACCTTGGTCAAATCTCGAATGCAGAAGACATCATAGAGGAGCAAGCTAGAGGGGTGAAGGTTGTGCGTTCACAGTTTTGTAAGGTTCCTCTTGATCTTGTCATTGATGTGAGCAGGCATGTGCCTCCACCTACAATTTCGGACAAAATAAGTATTCCAGGGGTTCTGTCTCATGAAGCTTTACCAAGAATGACTTTCCAGACACAAACAGATATGATGAGCGGTATTCCTTCTTTCAGTGATGCAAAGGATAAATATTCAGGTGTTTGTAAGCCTTGGAAATCCAAGAATGTGAAGCATGGTGAGTTTTAGACAATTTTTCTTTGTCCTTCTGTTTCATTTTTGAAATAAATGACCACTTCCAAAGGTTACTCGTAAAAATCACATACTTTGCTCAGAATTTAATAAGTCATGCTATACACTTTCAGAATGATTGGTCCCATATTATACTTGATCCTCTCATATAGTGTTCCTCCAAAGTCCAATGTTGGGTCTCTCACGCTAATATCTAATCTCATTCAGGCTTGAATACTATTCCTCCAAAGGGGTGGTGACTTATCCAGGCTTTGAGAGGGTAGGACAGTAGAACATATATGTAGGATGTGCTGGTGGTTCTCCTGGTGGGCCTTCTCTATTTACAATGTGCATTATTGACCTTTGTGCATCATGTTTTGTTAAAGAAAATTTTATGTTCCAGATGCATTTCTGAATGGCATACTTGAAAAATTCAGCCTGCCTTCTGCCAAGGTGGGTGCCCTGCCGTGCCGCACCTAGCTGGCTAGAAAGCCCTGCCTATGCATAGGTGGGCACCGAGCAGCCGCTTAGGCGGTCTAGGTGCATTTGGTCCTAGGCGCCCGACGACCTTACCTTTTGGCCTCAGGAAAGGCATATTTGGTCATTTTTCGCCTTCAATGGGAAAAAAAAGGTTAAGCGGGTATTCTAACCCCTAAAGTTGATAGTCCTTCCTTTTGCAAAAAAAATAAAAACACAAATTTTTAAATTATTATGGGATTGAAATTTTTTAAAAATCATCCCAAACCTTTTTTTTTAAGGGAAATTATTAATAATATTCCTTAAGTTTTAAAAAATTTGAAAGTTACCATTTTTCTTCAAATTCATGCCCATACCCATGTTTTCTCTTTTTCTCTTTATCCCTAATACGTGTGGTAGGCGCGTAAATATTTACTGGGAAATATTTACATATGTAATAGTTTACCTCTGTAAATATTTGTATATGCATTCTTTTTACCATGTTTGGTAGCACATTTAAAAAGCATTGTATAAACAGTTTCATATGTTTGGTAGCGTGCTTGGTTGGTATAAAAATATTTACACAAAACCTTGAATAAATATGTATATTATATATATCATCATCATCATCATTTTAGCCTTTTCCCAATTAATTGGGGTCGACTACATGAATCCTGTTTCTCCATTCTGCTCTATTAAAGGCCATATCCTCAGTGAGGCCATATGTCCTCATATCTTTTTGGACTACTTCCAACCTTATCCTTTTTAGTCCTTCCACTTGAACTAATTTGCACCTCCTAACAAGTGTTGTACTTGGTCGGCGCTACATATGGCTAGCCCACCTAAGTCTACTCTCTCTTATTTTATCGCCTATTAGTGCCACGCCTAAATTCTCTCGAATGTATTCATTTCAAATTCTATCCATTCTTGTTTTGCCACTCATCAATGTCAACATCCTCATCTCCGTTATACTCATTCTATAGGTATATTTATTTTTGTCCGCACAACATTTTGTCCCATAAAGCAAAGACGGTCTGACTGCTGTCCAATAGAACTTGCTCTTCAGCCTCATTGGTATGCAGCGATCACATGAAATTCCAGTTGCATATCTCCACTTCACCCACCCAGCTCTAATTCTGTGTGCGACATCTTCCTCGATCTCTCCATCTTCCTGGATTATCAATCCAAGATATCGAAAGTGCGGTCTTTTGTACTTCCTGACCGTCAATCTTAACTACTTTCTCGTCTCTACTCCTATTATTACTAAACTCGTACGCTATATACTCTGTCTTAGTCTGACTAATTTTAAAACTTTTGGATTTTAGAGCATTCTTCCAAAGTTCTAACTTTATCTTGACGGCGTTTGGGGTCTCATTAATCAAAATTATGTCATCTGCGAACAACATGCACTACGGTACCTCATACTGTAGGTGCTTAGTTAAGTCGTCCATGACTAAGATAAGCTCAATGCTGACCCTTTATGTAGACTTATTGTCACTAAAAACTCATTTCTCAGCACTAGTTGTTCATACACTAGTTAGTGCTCCATCGTACATTTCTCACCAAGTCAATGTAGTTTCTATAGAAACGCCTTTCTTTTCCAACACCCGCCAAATTAAATATCGAGGTATTCTATCATAAGCTTTATCTAAATCAATGAGGACCATGTGGAGGTCTGTTCCTGTCGCCCTATACTTCTCAATTAGTTGCGTAAGTAGGAACATAGCCTCAATTGTTGATCTTCCAGACATAAAACCAAATTGGTTTTCAGATACACTCGTTTCATTCCTTAGTTGTTGCTCAATGACTCTCTTCCATAGCTTCGTATTATGGCTCATAAGCTTGATCCGTTGATAGTTTGCACAGTTTTGTATGTTTCATTTGTTCTTGTAAATAGGTACCATAATACTTGTTCTCCATTCGTCTGGCATTTTATTTGTTCTCAACACCTTGTTGTACAATTTCGTTGGCGAGTCAATGTCAATTTCTCCCATGCACTTCCAAACCTCTATCAGGATACCATCTGGTCCTAAAGCCTTTCCTTTCTTCATCCTTTTCAAAGTTTCTTTCACTTACGACATCCTAATCCTACGAATGTATCTATGACCTCCGTCGTCACTTGTACCAACAGTCCCTTTTATCGCTATGTTCCCATTGTGTTTGTCATTTAATAGTTTTTGCAAATAGACTCTCCACCTTTTGTTGACCTCGTTATCCTTCACCAAGACCTTTTGATTGTCACTCTTAATGCATTTAATATGGTTTAGTTCCCTACTACTTTTTCTGTCTTTTTTTTGCTAATTAGAAGATATCTTTTTCACCTTCTCTTGTTCTTAGTTTATTGTATAGATTATCATATGTCTTAAGTTTAGCTTTATTTACTATTTGTTTAACATTTTTCTTAGCAATTTAATATTCTTTTAAGTTTTGATTTTTTCTATTACACTGTCAAATTTTATAACATGATCGTTTTGCGCTAATGGCCTTTTGAACCTCACTTTTCACCAACAAGTTTCCTTATCGATGTTTCTTTCTCCTCTAGATTCTCCTAAAACTTCTTTTACCACTTTCTTGATACATTCAACCATCTCATTCCATATTACATTGACATCATGTTCAAAGTTTCATTTTCCTTCTTCAACTAATTTATCCCTAAATAAATCTATTTTCTCATTTTTAAATTTCACCACCTAGTTTTTGGACGCCCATTACTTTCACCCCTTCTTTTCCATGTCTTTATGCAGACATCTATGACCATGAGCCTTTGTTGGGTAGCCAAACTCTCTCATGGGATAACCTTGCAGTCCTTACATGATAGTCGATCTACCTTCTTAACTAGGAAGAGGTCTATCTGGCTTTTATATGTTCCACTTTTATAGGTTATTAATGTTCATCTCGCTTTTTAAAGTAAGTATTTGTTAGGCCATAGCAAAATCTAGAATAGTCTCACCCATCTCATTTCTTTCCCCAAACCCATATCCCCATGTGCCCCTTCATATCCTCTACTATCCTTCCCTACATGACCATTTAGGTCCCCATTTAAAGAGGTCATTTCTCCATTTGGTATGTCTTGAACTATTCCATTTATGTCCTCCCAAAATTGTCTCTTAATTTTATCATCTAATTCTACTTGTGGTGCATAAGCACTAATTACGTTAATTATCTATTCTTCTAATACAAGTTTAATTAATAAGAGCCTATCACCTATTTTTTTGACATTAACTACTTTATCTTTTAAATCTTTATCTACTATTATGCCATTTCTATTATTATCCTTTTTTGTATACCATAGTTTATACATATCTATTTCTTTAGCTTTTTCTCCTTTCCATTTAGTTTCCTGTAGACAAGCTATGTTTACTCTCTTTTGCCTCATTGTATCCACAAATTCTATACTCTTACCTATAAGCGTTCTTACATTCCTTGTGGCTAAATGAATCCTATTCTCTTGGACTAGCTTCTTTACCCGTGCTTGTCTAGGATGTCGCGGGAACCCTTGCCTATTTTTCATCGCAACCGGGCGGCGTTGCAGCGCGTCGCTTCTGGGGAATGCCCTAGCTGTAGCTTTGCTCATTTCTCACTGTACCCGGGTTTTGGTACAACACGTCGCTTCTGGGGAACGCCCTAGCATAAGCAAATACTATAAGTTTATCAAGATTCATGATGGGTTTTGGCAAAATTTTACGTTGGTTGCTTACCTAACTCAACTATGCCTCTTTAACCGGGTTTGAGATGGGTTAAGGGACCATTGTATATTATATATATAATATATAATATTTATATTATATTATAAATAAAAATAATTCTTATTATGTATTATTTTATAAATATTAGTATATATTATTATTATATATTTAATAAATATATTATATAAATTAAATATATATAATATTATAATATAATATAAATGTTATATATTATATATAATTATTATATTAAATATATAATATAATATAACATAACATACATATGATATATAATATAATTTACATATATCATATAATATATAATATAATGTACTTATATAATATGTATGCATTTATATATTTATATAATATGTATTTATAATATTATATATTCTAGATTTTTCTATGACCTACGACATAGGAATAGCAAACACTTACTTTAAAAAGCGAGATGAACATTTAATAACCTGTAACAGTGGAATACAGAAAAGCCAGATGGACCTCTTCCTAGTTAAGAAAGTAGATCGACCATCATGTAAAGACTACATAGTTATCCCAGGAGAGAGTTTGACTACCCAACATAGGCTTGTGGTCATAAACGTTTGCATAAAGACATGGAAGAGAAAGGGGTGAAAGTAATGGGCGATCAAGAACTAGGTGGTGGAATTTAAAAAAATGAGAAAATAGACTTATATAGGGATAAATTAGTTAAAGAAGGAAAATGGAACTCTAAGCGTAATGTCAATGTAATTTGGAATGAGATGGTTGAATGTATGAAGAAAGTGGCAAAAAAGGTTTTAGGAGAATCTAGAGGGAAAAGAAACTTGGTGGTGGAATGATGAGGTTTAGAAGGCCATTAGCAAAA